GCGTATGGCTGAATAGCCCAGCGGGGCGCGGGTTAACAAACCGGGCGGGCGGCACTCAGCATATGGCAGCATCATGTGGCAACACTTTGCCTTCATAATGGAACACCTCCCCCCGGGTTAACAAACCTATTTGCAACAAGCCATGATACAAAAAATAAACATCTCCTCCTGGGATATCTGACTGACACGCGCGTCTCATACCCGCAAATCCACTAAATATCTACGAGCATCTTCGCGCGTATCTAATACACTCCAAACTAGATCACTCATAGCTTGTGCACGGTCCCCACCGTACCTGTAACCTGACCGGCTCGCGACGGTTACGACCACTGCGACGAATCGGCGGATCAGCTTTCGGCGACCGACGCGCTGTCTCCGTCACCGTCACCGCGCGGTCTCCGTCACCGTCACCCCCCTCCGGCGCTCGGCGAGTATCAGCAACCGGCGTTCTTGGCGGCTGTTGATATGGCTGTCGACGTGGCGGCTGTCGTGACGTCATAGCCGATGACGTTTACTGCTCTGCTTCTGTCGCGGCCGTCGGCGTCCCAGCGGCTGCTCCTGCCAGAGCCGCGGTGGGATCCTGTGCTGGAACCTCCAGCGCCGCGCGCGCCGGCCCGCCGTTGGCGGTGACGAGCGGGCGCAGCGGGCGCAGGAAACGTCTGTTGCGCCAGTATATGCGCCCGGATGGCGTGCGCACCAGGAAACTGCGTCGCTCCTTGCTGATGCCACTGATGATGCCTGTGCAGTCCCACAGGCCCGTGCGGTGATCTTGCATCAGCACATGCTGTCCCAGCTGTAGAGGGCGATGTGAGCGCGCAGAGGAGTTGTAGCGCTCCGCCTCCTTGCGTCTCTGTTCTGTGACTTGTCTGTCGACCTCATCGGCACGTTCCAGCCAGCACTTGGCGAACGAACGCTGATGAGCCGGAATCCTCGATCTCAGCGGGTGACCGAGGAGAATCTGAGCCGGCGATCTCCCGTCTGCTCTTGGAGCGTTCCGCAGCTCCAGTAGTCCCTCGGCGAAGGCGTCTGTGTCGAGATCGCCTCCGACAGTCACCTTCTTGACCAGCCGTTTGACAGCTTTTACTGCCGCCTCTGCATGTCCGTTGGCCTGTGGATAGTGAGGTGACGAGAACTGCTGACGAACACCCCACTTGTCCAGGAATTCCCGGGTCTTCTTCGCCGTGAACTGAGGTCCACCGTCAGTGAGTAGCAGGCACGGAGCTCCGGTAGACGCGAAGGCCTTGCGCAGACTGGTAGTCAGTTGATGGGCTGACGCCGATCTTCCCATGTGGCACACCCACGGCCACCCGGAGAGTCTGTCTACATACACCAGGTATGTGTGTGCTGCGTACTCGAAGAAATCGGCTGACACGACTTCAAAGACTCTAGTCGGTTGAGGTAGCTGTATAATCGGTTCTTTCTGCTGTCTGGGCAGATGTAGCTGGCACCCCTTGCAGCTCTTCACCATGTTCGAGATGTCGTTGTCGATACCTGGCCAGTACACCACTTGTCTGGCTCGTCTTTTGGTCCTGTCTTCTCCTTGATGACTAGCATGCAGTCTCTCTAGAACGTTACGGCGGAGGCTGCTGGGTACGGCAACTCGCTGCCCACAAATGACGATATTGTTGTCCACTGCTAGCCGATCGCGCATGTTCCAGTAGGGATGAAGAAGTGGCTGCAACTGCGACTTGTGCTCAGGGAAGCCGTCCAGCACAGCTGCCCTCAGCTCCAGCAACTCCGGATCCCGCTCCGTAGCTGACCGCACCGCTGTCAGCGTCGCATCTTCGAACGGTGAGGCGTCCGTCCCGTCCACTTCGACACTGGTTATCGCGCGGATGACCTCAGAGCTGTGTGAAGTCAGCTCACGTTCCTCCTTCTTGTCGTCCTCAGAAGGCGCCTCCACAGGGTACCTTGACAGAGCGTCTGGTATAGCGTGAAGCTTCCCCTGGCGCCAGACTGCCACGAAGTTGTAGGGCGCAAGACTTCCTCGAAGTCGCTGAAGACGTGGGTTGGCGATGTCCTGCAGACTCTTCGTGTTGAGAATCGGTATGAGGGGCCTGTGATCTGTGGCAACCTCGAACTGTTGCATGCCTTGCAAGTAGGTGTTGCACTTCCTGGCAGCCCACAGGATGGCCAGCATCTCGACCACGATGACAGCGTATCGGGTTTCAGTGTCTGTCAAAAACCTGGATCCGCACTGAATCAGATGCCACCTTCCATCCTCGTCTTGCTGCCGCAGACTGAAGCCCAATCCCTTCAGACGCGCTGCATCTGTCTCCAAGACCGTCTCCTCTTCGGGTTGAAGAAGCTCAGGACTGGTGGCCTGACCAGTGCTTCCTTCACGTCGTGGAATGCCTTCATGTGCACTTCTGTCCACAGCCATGTGTTCTTGGGACTCAGAAGCTGGCGCAGCGGTTCAGCAGCTTTGGCTACCTCTGGTGAAAAGGAGCCCATCTGATGCACCAGACCTAGAAAGGACCTTAGGTCTGTGACGTTCTCGGCGCTGTGATGCCTCCATCTGTCGGCAGACGAGATCGAGAAGCGTCTGAAACTCTGCCGGCTTCCGATCCTCGCGGTCACCGTCCGACGCGTCACCATTATCACTCTTGGCTACGACGAGCCGTCACACAAACGATCGAAACGCACAAAATTCACTGGTGTGAGCGCACAGTTCCACACTTCACACCGACCGCGCCATATTCTGTTCGCTGCTACCCTCGGTAGCTCGGCTCTCGCACGCGGACCCGCACACGCCAGCGTCAGGCTTCCGACTGTATTAACAAACCGGGCGGGCGGCACTCAGCATATGGCAGCATCATGTGGCAACACTTTGCCTTCATAATGGAACAGCTGGGACTTGGGATTTTGGGATATGAGATAATTCAATTGATTCTGTCTTAAATATTTCAATAGGTGTCTGGATAAACAAATGCCCTGATACTCGTCAGAACTCTGCGCTTTATAATACTTGGACCAAAAATTCATTTCTTTCTTTTTTCCCTTCTCTTTCCTTCTTCTATCCCATTTTTCGTCTGGTCTCTTTTTTATCTGTCTCGTAATCATAATTTACCTTCTATCCTTCCCTCGCTGACCTTTTCGGCGATAATACTCAGCTGCTGAGGCCGGCCACAATTATCGAGACAGAAAGAGGAAGGGAGGAGGGAGATTGGGGCGCTCTCGGGAGCCCGTCTGGCCGCCACTAGTCCAATCTGCTATTTGGTGCAATGTGGCTGACCCGGTGATCCGAGCTCCACTTTCCTCCGTGGTCCAGTCGACGCTGACACATCCAGAGATGCGTCGAATCTTCAGAGACTCAGTCGGAGCCCAGCTCGGGGTGGCAAATTGAACCCGGCTTGGAGAGACTGGACCGTTCCACTCAGCATGGCGCTGACTGCTCCACAGAGCCAGCCCAGCGGCCTGTCGCCACCAACCGCTCAGCCAAGAGTGCTTTGTTTGTCTCCGAGCTCTAGACACCATTCATTTAAGCCCATTTGCGGCTTTATCACTCGTGAAATAAACACCACTGGTGGCCGGGACCGGACTCGCGGAATCCCGAACTCATTTGGTTGCATGAGACCGACCCGGCGGCTCTGCCATTTTGACAAGGACTGACCCGACCCGACACGAATCTCATTGACACGTGTTCGACGTGCCGTCGGCTCTGATCTCATCTGGGCGGCGGCGTATTCCGGAGCGGCGGCCGGCCACCACGTTAGGCCGATTGGCAGTGGCCCAGCGGAAGGTCAACAAGCTCCCCGGAGGCACGTAGCCCGGACCTACACCCCTCTCGGACGCGCCGGGAAGGGTCGCGCTGATTGTGTGGTGTCGGATGACACCAAGAGGGACCTTGAATGGGATTAGACACGTGTGGCTGAATATGAGAGCTTCATAACCAATTCCGCTACATTTTCAGTAAACACAAAATCAGGGGGGGGGGAGAAACAACTGAAAAGCTCCCGACCATGCGCACTACGAACTGAATTGTACTGATATTGGACACGTTTACAATAACATTTGACGGCATAAGAAATGCTATTTTTAGTGCTTGTCACTAGTCAAGCAGTCAAGCGTGTTTTTCATTATTTTTGCTATAGGTACTCGACATCTTGGCTTAGGCTTTCGTAATCATATTTGGTTATTGCATTGCACTTGTTCTTTGCTCCTATATCAGCAAATTACTCTTACGTTTTTACGTTTCTTTGCGTTTTTCAAGGTCTTGTCACTGTCTGGAAGACTCTTAACAAAACTGGCATCACTCTTTCTAAAGTCAAGCAAATCTGTAGAAGTTGTCTCTTCCAAACAACTCAATTCGCAGAGCAATACAAACTGCTCTGTAAGGCGGCCTACTTGGCTCTGTTTTGAAAGCGCTGTTTTGTATTCAGCGGACAAGTACGCTGTGTCGCCAACAGACGCCGGATTACTATTGCTGAGACACTGGCTGCGCTCCGCATACAGAGCTGAATCCGATCCGGTTTCGACAAACAGGCCGGCCATCAGGACAGGATCGGAACCAAAGACTGCACACATTGCTTTCAGAGAGCCGGAGACGTTTTCTCTCGGTGCTGTTTCGTTCGACATTGATCGAATGGATGGCCATCTCAGCGACGCTGCCGGCTACAGGAGGAGCCAAGGGGCACGAGTGGAGCTGATGGCTAGTCTTATTTGGGTCTGAGTGACCTCGGGTGTCCGTTTTCATGCCTTTGAGAATGGTTAAAATGTGACAGAGGCTATAGTACACAACAACCTAACCCAATAAAGCTAGCGGATAGTTGATCGGGATGCTCCGCTAGTTTCCACACCAGTTCCTAGATGGCACTAGTGTAGACGAATGAATTGATACTGTCCCACAAAGCTTGACGCTATCTATTCCAACTTATCCAATATCCATCACGCTGTATGCCTAAGCAACAATTTTGCTGGTAATCGGTGGCATTAAAATACTTGCAACAGTAGTTTAAATCCATGCAAGGCTTGTTCTCAGAATTATACCTAGCCCTTACCTGAACAGCCGATCATGAGAGTGAAGAACACAACGGGAAACATCATGGGCCCCTCCTCTTCCACCCAGCCGTGTTCTGAAACAGAAGGTGGGCTAATGTCAGTGTCTACCTACATTGGAGCAGCGTTGGTGGTGGTGTCGTTTCCGGGGAATGACCCAGCGGTGGCGGTGATAGTTTCTCCTCTCCCGGCCAATGACCGGTCCTTCCGGTGTTCAGACGGCCGAGTTCCCTTGATCTTTCTGAGACGGGGAGAGGAGCTATGGACGTCGCCCACCGAGCCGTGGAGCCGCGGACAGGCGGCGACCAGTTGACATTTGGAATTGGGCCACCCCAGTCTAGCTGCGCACGGCCCCTCCCCAGGATAACCGACGTGCCGTCCGGGCCACACATGTGCCGTCTGGACCAAACTTTGAGTCAGTGTGGCCGGATTCGCGCAGCACCGAGCGGCGACCTCGGCCACGGACGGAGCGGGGGCGGGTGTCGTCAGTCCCCCAACAGAGCAAGGTGGATGACCGCCTGAGGCCCTGTTGCTGACACTCGGAGCCGGGAAGTTGGGCCGCCGTCCTGACAGGCCGCCGGCGCCGTCCTGACGGGCCGCGGAATTGGGCTCTGTAGCTCAGACACTGCGGTCGGGAGACAGGGGAATAAGGTGACAGGCGACCGGTCATCGCCGGGTGGTGCCATGGAGACGAGACGGAGAGACATAGACATGAAGATGGAGAATGGAGATGGAGACGGAAGATTGGGATTTGGTATTGGATGGTACTGGGTATGTGGATGAAGACTAGAGGCATTGCAGTCAAAAGATGACAGATCAAGAGACGACAGAGACGAAAAAGAAGACAGACACTGAGACAGAGACAGAGACGAAGAGGACTGCTATGTTCTGGCGATTGTGTGGTTGCCTCTATAATTCTATATACTCTGGTTATATATTTCATCATAATTGTGGCGACAGTGTGCAACTAGTGGCAATGTTATCAGCCGGCTGCCAAAGACAGCCGACGTCTACCACTTTATCATGCTGGTAACAGAAGGACTGGGGCCCAAGCCCTCTGTTGCATTGCATTTGACGTTACCAATTGATATAAAATATCAATAGCTCTATTCCATGATAAAAGCATCCATTGGATTGATTTTCAATGTATGTTGTAGTGCATACAAGCATGTGGATATGCGATGCCTTTTTATCGTCGTCAAGGCTGAATGGCTCTGAATTGTGAGCCGTCGTGTCACTGATGTATGTTACCTCGTGGAGCTGCTCCAGAACGATAGCTCCTGCAGCGGAGGGAGGGCCGATGGGGGGGGGGGGGGGGAGTGGAGCGGGTCGGCTGATGCGGACGGCAGTTGGCGCGACCATCCGCAGAGGCGATCAGACTCCACCCCGTCCCGGCCGGCCGGCCACCCCGCCCCGCAGCGCAAATGACCCGGAAAGCAGCCGCGCCGATGGAGCCGGCTAGCGCCGCCGTCTGATGGGGCTCAGCAGTCAGCAGTCAGCACCGGCTGATGGAGCTCAGCAGTCAGCGCCGGCTGATGGAGCTCGGCAGTCAGCAGTCGGCATCGGCTGATGGAGCTCAGCAGTCAGAGGTGGCTGATGGAGCTCAGCAGTCAGCGCCGGCTGATGGAGCTCAGCAGTCAGCGCCGGCTGATGGAGCTCAGCAGTCAGAGGTCGCTGATGGAGCTCAGCAGTCAGCGCCGGCTGTCTTGAGTCGACACGCAGTTCGCGACGATTTTTTGCAGTGTTCTGACTCATTTTTGGTTTAGACGCTGCTGTTTGTCACAGATGCCAGGCATGTTTCTGTTTATGCTCAGTTGTTACTTGTTTAATGCCTGACCTGGTCGTCGTCATATCATTTAGCCCAGCTGGACATCCGCTTATCTCGCTGGTTTGATGGCTGGGTGGTTACCCTCTAATCGCAGAAACAGACAATCGTGCCTTATCACGCTGGCGCCACCGGATGCCACATAACGGGGAATGCGGGGGGTCATTTCACCAGCTCACATCAAATCAGCATTAAGCCCAGCCGCGGAATCCCCGGATAGTGGCCGGAGTACTGTAATTACTAATTACTTTGTTTAAATTTGTCACGCCCGAGACGTGGCGTGTGAGTAAATCAGCAATAACAAACACCAGAACAAGCTGAGCTAATGCTTCTACCGGCAGCTACTTTTGAGGCTTTATGGAGAGGTGTGCGTGGCAGCTTGGGCTATTTTATTTTACTCTGCTCTGCTATTTTACCCAAAAAAAAGTTTTCAACGCATTGTGATAGTGGTAAAAATCGCTGATCTAAACTGTTATTAATATGATCACGAGATCCAGTGATTTCGTTTTCATGGCCATGACCTATAGTGTCTGTCACAGCCAGTGCTGCGCGATGAGCGGTCACGCCACGTGCTAGCCGTGATCAATGTCGTGACCGTGACTCGTTTCTCACTGGCCCGTCACATAGCTCTCTGCCTCCCACGATTGGTGGCCCACAAAGAAGAGACCCTGTCGAGGCGGGACGTTTCACACCAGCCCGCGCACATGGCGTGGGCTGGGATCATAAATTTTATCTAATAGAGTGCTCTCTCAGCCTGATCGTCATCTCATCTCATCTGCCCTATCCGTTTTCTCATTTTATGTTTCTATGAAATATGCAATTACCGGGTGTGATTCACGCTTTCACATTTAGGGCCTTGCTTTCACTAATCACCTTTCACTTCATCTCCTCAAGTATCTACAGCCCATACCTCAACCTTTAAACTTTCCTCCCAGTTGACCAGTATGTATGTCATATAAACCTCCCATTATATCCCTCTCAACCACCCATTATATTCCTCTCGCCCTCCCCCTACTCCGCTCACAGTTCAGCGCGCTACAGACAGAGCTCTGCCGCGTCTAAGAATGTTCTGCCGAGGTTCACATCAAAGCTGAACTTTGCTTGTTAACGACTGGATTCCATTACCAGATGTCAGCATCGACTTCTGAAATTTTCAAACACTCGACTCCATTTGATATACGGAAATTTATAAAGTTAGGCCAGCTCCTCGGTAATGTCATTTCTGTCCAGCATAGCTTGATGAAGGAAAGGCTGATGGAAACGAAAAGATTGTCCCCAGAGGGCGATTGTGGTGTTCGAATACATTTCAAAACGCCGCAGTAGCATCGCTGTAATTATTGCGATATTAACTCGGCATAAATTATGCACAACAAAATATTGTATACAAGAGAAGCGGTGACTAAATTAGTCATCACTGTAAAGTGACTGATATGAAGGCATTTGAAATATCAGCGCCGCGACGACGGGGTAAGAGTTATAAGTCGACACTCAATTAAACATGCAAGATCGATCGACTGATGATAACCGTTTAATCGAGTCACAGTTATTTTATCAAAGCGCGGTATCCCTCGATCGCTGCCTAGCACCAGAGCCAAGAGCAGGACCGGCAGCCGGCCCAAAATCTGTGGCAGTGTAAGCCCCGGCCTCGGCTATCGTTTATCGGCTGGTATTTCGACTGGCGATATTACTTTCATCGGGTTGCCAAGGTGGCATGTTTGTACGCTTCCGCCGGCGGATATTGGCCGCCTGTCGGCACTGGCCGCTGCCCGGGGCGGGGGCGGGGGCGGGGGCGGGGGCGGGCGTGAGACGGCCGTCGACAGAGTCCGATTCCGGCCGCCGCTATCGACGAGGCCGCCGGAAGTGTCCGGCCCGCCCGTCGGTCGGCGGGCATCCGGAGTGGGCCGCCCCGCGAGCCGCTACAGCCGCCCTCCCTCGACCAGATACGCCCCAAACGACCGGCCTTTTCCGCAGATACTCCCCAAGTACCGGCTCGTTCGGTCCGAGACGACCCAAACACAGCGCCCATTACGCCGGGACTCCAAATGAAGTTTGGCGCCGGCCGCCTGTTGCAGAAATGCTCCACCACCCTGCCCAGCCGGCTATGGCAGACCGGGGTGGCTCCGACTGAGGTAACCGAGCCTTAGGACGTGGAGTGGGCTGCAGTGTGATGACCGGGTCACCGTCAGGGGCTTTGAAGGCGACCGGGATACCCCCGGTCCACCGAGACCGCGGACAGAGGGCATCCAATCACAGCCCATGGGACGTCTGCCGCGCTCACCAGACCTTCAGCGCGTCCAAACTTAGCCGAGCGCCGGAGCTGTGCCGTGTCTGACGGCGCCGTGCCGCCTGTGTCTGTCTGTATTGCGTCGCGAGCTGTGCTGGGGGCGGCCCGAGTTCATGACGGCCTCAGAGGCTGGCGGTGGGCAGGCGCGGGCTGTCAGTGCCACCAGTGTGTGCTGATGTGTGGGCTCGTCACTTGCCGTTCTGTGGAGAAGTGGGGGAGCGGCACTCCGGAGTGGAACTATCAGTCGACGTGCCACGGCTCGCCGGTTATAGTTTGAGGCTAAAAGTGTGCAATCTACCGTCTGCCAATGGGGACAGCAGTAGTGGGCTCGTAAGACTGTGATGGGCTGTGATGGGAGCACACACCAGTGAACCGTGATGGTTGCACCGAGTTCACCGCGAGTGTGACGTCAACCGCTGCAGATTGACGTCAAACGCGGCATGAAGTAACCCAATGCTTATTCAGCCAATGTAAATTTGAACTCATCCAAATTTTCAAATGAAATGCAGCTACTTCGTACTTCCAGATTCTCCGTAAACTTTCTCCGTACTTCTAAATCTGGTATTCACCGATATCGTCGCCTTCTTTGGCCGTCTTCTATTTGTGTTTTGAGCCACGCAATAAGTAGGTCTAGCGCTGCGGTTTCTGATAGGCTCTATTGGTGCCACGGCCATGGCCGTGGCACCGAGCCGATAACACCGGCCGCTGGCTGAGTGCCTTCTGTCCCAGTTGGCCGGGCCCGGCACGGTCGGTTTCTGTTCAATCCGAAATGACCCAACATGGCAACTGTGCGGTCACGGCCTGTCGGAGCCGCCGCCGCCGCCGCCGCAGCCGCCGACCGTCCAAGTTGGCCAATTTGCCGGCCCGCTCCGTCCCACTGTGGGCGGGCCGGCGGAATTGGCGGCCGCCGACGGGCTGCGGCTCCACGGCGGCGACATGCCCCGAGCAGGACCGAGCCGGATGGTCGC